GAGAGAGAGAGAGAGAGAGAGAGAGAGAGAGTATTGATACTCAACTCGACACACAATACACTCTCAATAAACAAATGCATAGCGAATAGTAGGAGTGTGTGAGTGAGAGAAAGAGAGTGTGAGTGAGAATAAAGTGATGTGTGAATGAAGTGAAAGGAATTGAGAAAATAGAGAAATTGAGTGAAAATGAGTGAATGACGTGAGTATTGAGTATTGAGATGCTATGGGAGAGTGATTTGATATGAGTTGATAGAGACTATAGTTTAACAAATGGGTCACAAAATGGCAACATATAAATGAAAAGATGCGACCCTTTGGTCCGCAGGGATGCAAACAAAACCTATTTCTCTAAACCCAACCGAAAGATAAATATATTCGCTCTTAACTTAAAAACTTTTCGATTGAACAACTTTTTTATACTAAAAGTTTGTTTAACGTTAAGCCAATTGGTATTGAATTCGTGATACAATTGGAAGCCTTAAGCCATCGCTTTGGCTAAAAGACTATTTGGCTTTCGGATAAAATCCACAATCAAAACGCTTTAATACTTTTGAAATGAAATAAGTTATGTTGTGTTTGCTTCATATAATGCTTCATATAATGCTTAATCAAAATTTAGTGGTTTTCCCTACAATTCTGGCCCCTATTAATGGATTTCGGGCGGAGATTATCGTTCAAAAGCACTCACAAGTCGCGTGTCGTGAGTGTCGTGAATGTCATGGAAAAGGCATACAATCAATAAATTTCTGTTTCTCACCAACACATCGGTGGCCAAACTTCCCATCGTTTCTCCGCTCCTATTCATACACTTCACTCATTCACTCATTTATGTCTTTCTATTATTCTTTGAAGTTGTAATCATTTCGACGAATATGTATCACAACTAATCAAATATAGTGTTGTTAAACCACTTTTACCCACATATTGTATGAATCATTTCATTTCATACCAATCATTGTTGTTATCGCATCAACTAAATAGCCCTCGCATTCAATTCCGCATCCAATTAGCCCTCAATTGTCATAATAGATCATTTCTCATAAAACCCTATTTACTAAACACATGTATTCATCAATTATTATCTTTCAATCATTTTAATCTGAGAATAATTTGAAGACACCATTGGAGTGGAAATAAATTGATTTATTTAACAACATATTGATATTCTCACTGCAATACAAACACATTGTGTGCCTAATGTGTGAATTCATTATATGTTGCATTGGATTGAATGGAAACTACACAGAGATTTAAAAGCAAAATCTGTCGCCCAATATGTTATACTCGATTAGAAATGTACTACAGATTGAGACAAATCTGTTCATTCAAACGCAAGATTATTGAAATCCAAGCTTTCGTCAGATTTTTGGACACATTCTGACACTTCTCAGAACCAAATGTCCCGTTCCTTAGCTGTCAATCACTTCTATAATCTTATTCTACATTTTGTCGGATTTGCATTTCAAACATAATATCAATTCTTAAGTTTATAATACCAGACGTGATATAACAAAAAATATACAGATGTATAAAAACAGTTCTTTAAATATTTAAACATTGCATTTATAGAAATATTTAATGTAAATCATAATATGATATTATCGAGTGCTGATTTTTAAATCTGCTCAATAAAATTGAAATCTATCATTCATTTTTAAATGTATATTTTATATGTAAAATAATATTGCATACAAATCTAACTGTACAAATACAATAATACCAATTACACTATAATTGGTATACAATTGACTAATTTTAACAACAAATTTCAATGAATATCAAAGCAATGCAATGAATGAAAAGATCATAAATAATTGTAACCCAAATGTTCAATAATTTGTCGCTCATTTGTTCGCATCTGTGCCCTTCAAAGCGCTCTTTTCTCTAACCATAAGTTTTGAGAAATATTTTTGGAGAATAAGTTTTTCGGAGCGAAAAATGTTTCAAATATATCAATAAGATTAGGATCTGTTTGCAGATTTTCATCATCACTACAGCCATTGGTAGTGTTAGAGATTGTGTTAGCATTTGATGTGTTGTTGGCGTAACAAATATATGACAGCTTAGCAGAGGCTGAGTTTGAGCAAAGAGAGTGGAGAGAGTGGAGAGACGGGTCCTTTTTTGGCTGTATGTTTGACAAAGTTTGCAATAAAAGACTACAACCTATGATATGGTTGTTGGCGTTGACTGTATTGACTGTATGGGAAAATCAATGAACATATTCTCAGCTTATTTTGATTGTAAAGCAGGATAAGGATCAACACAGACACAGACCAACATCGCAACCAAAGCACTACACTTATAATGGCATACATTTTGTGTCGGCTTTGTATTTGTATTTCTAATATTATAAACATCACTATATGTTACACTATTTGGTCTTACTTTTCAATTTTTCTGTACGTTTTTTGCACTCAAAAGGACATCAAATCCTAAAGAAACGTGTTTTTCGTATTTGGATTTGAGTTTTTGAGTCCATATATTGTGATAACAAAAGCCATTTCTAACTAAAAGAATACTTTATTCTCTACTTTTTGATATCGTCTATAAGTATCAGTATATATGACATACAGTTCTATGCATTGAATACAATTCTGGTGTTAAGAAAAATACAAAATACACACAAAGTATGACAAAAGGACTATAATATGACACAAAAGAGACCCAACTCAGTGTAAACTATACTCTCCCTTCGCTCTGACATCCAAAAAGTTATTACACGGCTGTCAATCATTAGACAGACATAAATTTGTACCATTTGTTACAAATTTGCCTCAATCTCCTGCAAAACACATCCAGATTGATATCACATTCAATACAAAAAATAGATATATAAATGTGATTTACACTTCTCTCTCTCTCTCTCTCTCTCTCTCTCTCTCTATCTCTCTTTAGTTCAAACAAAACATAAATTTTATTACAGCATTTTTTCTGTGAATAAAATTTATGTTTTGTTTGAACTAAAGAACAGAATGTAAAAAATGTTAACAAATAGTAGTTTCGTCAATACAACAACAACCATATCATAGGTTGTAGTCTTTTATTGCAAACTTTGTCAAACATACAGCCAAAAAAGGACCCGTCTCTCCACTCTCTCCTCTCTCTCTCTTTCTCTCTCATCCAACTGTCCCCAACTCTCAGTGCGCGACAAATTGCAAAATTTTTTTGACATTTTTCACTCATGTTTTCTCACAAATGTTCACATTTTAACTCTTGACTCCACGAAAAACAAGAGTTTTACTGAAGAAAATAAACTTCAATTTTATTATGTCTAAAAACATATATGTATTCCTTGTATTGACGAAACTACTATTTGTTAACATTTTTTACATTCTGTTCTTTAGTTCAAACAAAACATAAATTTTATTCACAGAAAAAATGCTGTAATAAAATCATATGAAAACACATATACTGGGCATTGAATACACTGTCTATAAAAAATATCTATAGTGTACTGTATATAGAATCGTGAAGTAAGTTATAGATAAAGCTATTAAATGCTGGCAATTGTATGTAATGTTTATTGAATGTAGGAATTCAGACGTTATCATTAGAGCACTGGTAGTTCTGGTGGTCATATGTTTTGGCTGTCAATCTATGGTAAGGCTGAGTGCACATCAACTTATGGCCAACGATTGCTCTCAAAAACAATTATTATAATCAACTCTCTATTCGTTTGATTTTTCTTATGGATGTCATTGAAAATGGAAAATAAAAGTTAATTTAAGTTGAATTCAAGATAATGTTTGAACACAAGAAGACGTCTTTTCCAATAAAACTGTCAATAAATTGACTTCTTTTAAAGATATGACAAATATTTACTGAATTTTTTTCAAAAAATTGTTTTAAAAGATGTTTTGCTCATTGAATAAGTGTGAGCCTTAAGGCCCTGTAAATTGACCACAAATATAAACATCTTAAATAATCAAGTTTACACTCTTCACGTTTTATCATAATGTTATGATTTTGTGAACATTTAATCAATAATTTCTTTTTCAAAAAAAATATAGGATACCATTGAAACTAGAAATTGAAATGTTGTTTAAATTATTTGCTATTTTTTGAAACCCAATCATAACCTATACAATATAACGTTATTACATAAATTTGCAAAATGTGATTATGATTAATTAGTAGATTATTTTAAATATTTTTCTCGTTGAAATAATGTTATTACAACTTATAAACAACTAATTGCTTATTTAAAAAATATACCATTAAATTAAATAATTTTTATAATGAGATTGTGTCACGAATTTCCTATCGTTTAGAAAAATATATTTAATTGTAATTTCAAGAAATTAATATCAAATGAATCTCATTAACAAAAAATCTCATTTTGGTAAACGATATGTTCGGTCATTAATCAAGTTTTTTGTGTAATATTTTTATAATAATATTTGCATTCATTTTAATCATTGAATGACAAGAAACGAGAAGACAACGAATGATAGCACAAAAAATAGAGTAAATTAATTATCGTAAGAGTTTTGGGTTAAACTTCGCCGAAAAAATATATGACAAACAATTCGCGGATAAAAAATGAAAGTCATCTGAAAAATGTCTTTATTCTAAGTTATTGTCACTCTTTTATTGAGTGTATGTTAAGAGTTGTGTCAAAAATATTGTAAACATTTTGATGAACAACACTCCTATGGTTTACACATTAGCCGTAATATTAAGTGTATATAAATGCCAGTAAATAATGATTCCCACAGCGAGTGAATGTTAGGCCAATCTCTGCGTGAAAAGAGTTTTCTGCCTTTCATTCCCAGATGTGCTTTCAAAATGTGCCGTATATTCCACTTTCAGGGATAACTATTTCACAGCCAAAAAAGGACCCGTCTCTCCACTCTCTCCTCTCTCTCTCTCTCTCTCATTTTGGTGGCGATGCAACTGAACGGTCGGTTAGTCACTGGAATCCTCTGCCATTGAACGCATTCTTCCGATTCTTAATGTGAGTTAGTCTTTGAATTCAGTGATCACTCGGTAGGACACCAGCGATGAGTGCCGTTCAAACTCAATGTTGTGTTGCCTTTTGTTGGGCAGTAGTGACCGCTTCGGAGGAAATTTGCAATCACTTCATGAGCCCTAACGCTCACTGCAGACAGAGTTCCCCGTCGACTACAAAACCCTATGCTTTTCCTTAATAGCCATACTTTAGCTATACTTTAGGCCAGAGTTTTGGCAAAAAGCCATTTAGATTTGTTGTTGACTTTCAGTTTTATGCACAACTAATAACCTTTATTTTATAACTTATTAGAAATATATGTTTCATATTAGAGAATAACAACCAATATATACGAGATGTGAAGCAAAAACCACAGAACACACAAACACCACAATTCATCACCCGTTTAGCCAATGGATGAAAATGTGTGTCCATTTGTGCCGTTAATATTGATCTCCGCTGTGATTGCATACAAAAGAGCGTTTTGTACAACAAATAACAATTGTTTCTCATTAAACACTGGACTCGTATCTCAAATACTAGCAAACATGAGACTAACAGTCCTATAGTGCTCACAGAATTAGGTCTGTATTGAAGTACATGTTATCGACTAAACCTAAATTATAATAACAATTGAATGCAATTCCTGATCAATATTTAGATTATCTATTAATACAACTCTCAATCTAACCAATAGTATTGTTAACACTATTTTCTATTATCAAAGTAATCAACGAACTTGTAAATAACAAAGATCATTTTCTATACATTTTCTGTGCATCTATTATTAATCGAAATAACAATACTATTCTAATGTAAATTTATTATATTATCATAATAACTTAATTGTAGTGTCATGTTACATAAATCTTACACGTAGAATAATTTATACATTAATAAATTAAATTAATTATTGGTTAGGCAAATAAAAATAAATTAATTTTATTATTTACTTATTTTTCACTAAAGATATTAAATTCATATTAATATCGTATTTGGATTATAATATTACTTTTTAAGTAATATTCTAACAATGAAAACATTAGTATTGTATAATAAAATGACTAATTCTATTGATTGATAACTATAGTACAGTAGTAATAAAATTGGTAAAACCGGATACAAAATAATAAAATTGACAATTTATTGATTAAAACTTTAAAAATAATCACAAGAATAAAAATACAGTATAAGTAGAAGGCATTAAAATACATCGTCAAACAAGTTAGAAAATATTATAAAATAATAATTAACTGAACTGTTGTTATAAAATACTTATTCAATGGTCATAACAATTGTTTCCATTAACAGTAATACAAACATAATGTTTGTGACAGAAGTTGTCAATCCGATTGAGTGCATCTTTAAGCATATCCGTCGGCACCGACAATACGATCCGCACATATCCCGGGTATTGGAAACACTTTCCGGGCAAACAGAACACAGACTCTTCCGACACCAGCGCCTCCACTAAATGCAAGTCCGACTCAAACTCCGGGAAATACTCCATAACCACCCGAACCATGATATACATGGCACCCGACGGCATGATCGGGTGCAGGCCTGGCATCTCTTTCAGCGCGTTGTACGCTAACAAAGCGTTTGCCTTTAAATTTAAGTGCAAATATTGTTTTAGGAATTAAATTCAACACAAGAATACAATGTCTTATTGGTTTACATGAAGGAAATGTATGGTTGACTCAAAAAATTGTTTCGGAGTATTCTTGAGAATTTGAGGCAACGCTCCCTGAGTTATGCTATTCGGACCCACAAGACGTTGTGCCAAACTATTCAATCCTTGCCTTAACTAAACGATTAGAGATTTTCATAACATTATATGTCTATTTCAAAGCATTATTTCACATAAATCTTATAAATATTCAGTTTTGTACAATTGTTAATATAATAGACAATTTTTGTTTGTTTTTTAGTGAATAGACGTGTTTTTATGTTGCAATAAAAAACGGTAATTATTTATATTAAAATGTTTCATAATTTAAGTAATCAGTTATTAATATACTGTATTTGTATTTCTATAATTGTTTATTCAATTGAATGACGTTTAACTGTTTTGATTGATTAGCATTTTGTTAAATTATAATCACTATACTGTAACTAATTACTAGGATATAATATGTTTAAATATTGTCATATAATTATCATAGAATAGTCAAAATATTTTTTTCTCTCTAAATATTTAATGGAAAATATTATGTAATCACAAACAAGTCTCAAATAATTATTTCAAGAAATTAAAACTTTAATGACTTTTCACAGAATAGACTCATCTCTGTATACACTACTAAACTTTTTACATTTATACATTTTGTATATTAACTAATGCTTTAAATAAAATAAAATTAATTGTAATTCTGTTTAATGTATGTATTAATTACATGTGAATTCTTATAACTAATAAAATGATTAATTTATTTGTTTAAAAATGAGACAAATTCTGAGAAAAGAACTCGAATGAGAAGTACTGGAAAATTATGTAAAAATAATTATTATTCAGAAAAACCTGATTTCCAAATCTGGAGTGTTTGTCATGTATTAGAATCCATCCCATTCTCCACCCGGGGATCAGAAATCTGCACAAAATTAATTGTTTAAATGTTTATCAAATCAAATTTTAAAAAAATTTTAATTTAATATAAAATGTCAATCGTGACAAACTTTTTAGTGGTGCCGCCGCACGAAAGCACCGGTATTTCAGTGGTCAGCGACGCAATCGGATAAAAATGATTGCCCGGAAAGACCAGGTCTTCGTAGATCTCATCGGCAATTATAGGCAC